CCCAGGATCTTGAGTTTTTATGGGACAGCAGCCTTGTTCAGAAGTCAAGAAGAGGACGCCAAGTTTTCCTTTTTTCCAAATAGCTCTGGAACCAGGCTTGTAATCCATAGCATCACTGGCTCTGCAGAGGATTCTGTTTGGGGATACAGCTGGGTGTTTTAAGTGCTGTGACCTCAGCTAATGATCTTTTCCTCAGCATCACCCCCTCCTCACTAGATAGATCTAGCATTGGGTACTGCAGGGGGGTCGCCACATTCATTCTGAGCTGGCCTTTATTTCCCATCAGATTGTCTAGGCCGTACACAACCTGCCTCTCTCGCTCTCTGAGTAGATGCAAACACGTGGGTAACTGAGGCAGGATTGAAGGGCTCCATCTCTTCTTTTCTCCTCTACTGAGGGGACCCTTTTCCCCTCACCCTCTGACCTTTCAGACCTGTATTGGTCCCCAGCATCTATTGAGGCAGACCTATAGCAGAAGTGGCATTCAGTCCCCAGCAGACGTGGGTGAGCTCACTCCAGCACTGCCCTCTGGAAGCAGACTATAGGAAAACCTATTATAAGATCCAGGCCCAGCCTCTTTTCTGACCTGCTTGAGAAAGAGGAAGGGGTGTTTAGCATTTAATAGTTTGCTTGTCTTCCACTCCTGCCAGGAAATGTTTATTTGCCTCTAATTGGCCCTGAGAGACCACAGGGAGGTTGGGGCTCACTGAGGAATTGGCTGAGGATGTGTAAAGCAAAGGCTGTGAAAAGCAGTTGGGAGTTTATTGTTGTTGGATTGAATTTCCTTTTTTGTTACTCACCCATAACTTAAGCCAGGGCAGCAGGTACCATGGCCACAGTAATAGGTTTAAGGATTGCAGATACCTTGATAGGGCTGGCAACAGTAGAAATGCATACTGAAGCTGACGCCATAGTGGCTTGTGAAGTGTTGTCCAGCTTTGGTAAGAACAAATTGGACCTGCCCTTCGGGTATTTTTCTCTTCAATTTCTAGGGTGTCTTGGGACCCAATTCCTCATGTTAGGGAAGAAGACCAAGGTCTGCATGTTTTCTTCCTGGTGGAATTGAACCTGATGTTTTCTAAGTCTCCCACATGTTGGATCAGTGAGGCTTCAGCCTCCTCACCTCTACTCCAGAGGAGGTAGCCATGTCTTCTTGACCTTTTGGCCCTCAGAGGCTCTACCCTTCCAGGGCACCTCCCCATCTCCTAGCTGGTTACCATGTATTACTACTGGGCTACCAGGTCTATAGGGGTTTGAGAGAGGCTCTCTGGAGAATCCAGGGAAACTGTGAGCCCAGGAGTTGCCCATCCTTGGTTTCATCCCTCTCTGGCTCTTCTCCCTCTTGAGGCCATAATTTCCTGGTGCCAGCCTCTTTTCCTCCTGGGGTGTCCTTATCCCTGGGCACTCTGCTGCAGGTTGACTGTGCCAGCTTTCAATAGGCCACTGACAATGTCAATGGGGCCTCTGCAGGCCTAAGCTGAAGTGAGGGCAGTAATTCTGCCTCCATCTTTGCTTCCCCAAAGCCCTAGGGTACCATCCTTAGGGGAGAAAGTCTACAGTTATTGTATTTTAATCCCATTACTTTAAATCTGGAAAGTTAAACTAGTCAGGACTATCATCTTGCTTCCCAATCTAAGCATCTGTGGCCCTGGAACAAGGCTTTTGAAGAAGTTCATTTTGCTTTACACAATAGATCTGCTCCAACAGTTCTGTGTAAACCAAATGCTATTTTTCAATGCATTTGGACTGCTGACCATTTAAAAAGCAGCCTATGATTGCTTCTTTTGTAAAGCAGGCAACCTCCCTCTACTTTAGCTGTTTTGGCTATTTGGATTTTCACATATTGGGCTTACCCAGAGTGGAGCACACCTCCAGGGTTTGTGGCTGACACTGGGTAGATGTCTGCATCTGTGCTGTGTGTGTGGTGTGGCTGACCAGTAGGTGAGTATTCCTGCGTGTGTGAGTGATGCCACTCCCAGGCTGGTGCTCTCCTCCTGTGCCCGGTGACTGCCCAGTGGCAGCCCCGGCTGCCCTTCACTCCCACCTGCTGCCAAAGTCCCTGTGCTAATGGGATTACAAATACAAAAAGTGGAAAAATTTTTTCGTAAACTTTGTTTTATATTAAAAAAAAAATCCATAAGTCTGTATGTGTTAAACATGAGGTTCTGCCTCTGTGGCTGTGTTTGAAAAAATAAAGTTTTATTAGAATAATCCATTTTCCCAAACAACCTTGTGTACTATGGTGTCTTCTTCCCTACACCACAAAAAAAAGGCAAGGAGGAAGCAGGGAGAAGGCCACCTGTTTCAGCCCCTTCCTCTAAGATATGGCCAGGCCTTTCAAAAAGGGTAGTGTCTGGTCCCTAAACCCTTTGCTGGCTACCGCAGATCATATCCTATGGCTCAGGCTTCTGTTAAGGCCTTGGTTATTACTGACAGTCTGGTTTGTTGTCTGTTTACCTGGCACTTATACCTGTTTGCTCTACCCTGCTGTCACTCTTATTTCTAGCAGGTTGAAGTCAAGTATTAATACAGTCCAGCTCCCTGAGAAATCTTGATTGTGCAGTCAGGAACTTGTTAGATTGGTTTGTAGGCTTTGGGAGGTGGGAGAAGGCGGGGTGGGAGATGGCCAGGAATCTCTTCCTTTCTTAGGCGTTTTCACATATTATGCCCTGGAGTGATGGAGATTTTGTCATCAGAATTCAGATTCCAAGGATGTAGGCAATGTGTCCATTTTAAAAATACTGCTTTTGGAAAATTATCCTAGCAGCAAAGCTTCTCTTTTGTGCTAGAAGAGGGTATTTTCCCTAATGCTTCAATTTGGAGTATTTGCTGAAAGAAGCTGTGTGGCTTTTTCTCTTTAAACTTTCTATTCCACCCTTTCTTCTCCCTGTTAACATTCTTTCAATGTGTGGAAGTGTAGTTGCTTAGAGATCCAGGCAGGAGCCTCTGTCCCTAAGGCTTAGCCTTTCTTTACCAGTTGTGGTGTTGACTTGCCAGGCGGCAAGAAGAATCAAGTTGCTTAGCCTATGTCCTAGTTTCCTGCTTCAAATTGGTGGCAGTCATCACTGAATACCAACGAAGTGTGCAGGAGGACAGGATTGGCTTGACTACCTGGAGGAGGAAACTTTGCAGGGGTGGAAATGCACCCTAGAAATAGTGGGAGTTGTCACCTGCTTTGGAAATAAAAGAGGGGCTTTGAGGGTGGGATAGGGCAGTGGGGTTAAAGAAACTTAGAATTATGGTTTTTTCTTTTTCTCAAACTGCTGTTTTGTTTCACCTAGTGCTTGAACAGGGGGAAAGTTTGAACATCTGAAATGACTTTGTCCCCCTTTCTACCTTTCTTCTGAATTCTTTTGTTGGGTTTTTCTACTGTTTATTTTCTGAGGCCAAACACGATTTCATTTTTCATTCCTGAAGTCTCCTAGTATAGGAAAGAATGTAAACTCCACAAGAGCAAGGATTTTGTTTTATTCAGTGTTGTGTCCCCAACACTTTGAAAAGTTCTTGGTACATGAAAAGTGCCTGCCATATTTGTTGAATGAATTTCCCCTTTGCCCTTTCCATCCCTGAACTTAAGCACATTTCTGTGTCTGGTGCTGTGAGAAACAGGCCTTGGACAATGGGACAGTAATTAAAGCTCTATGTGGGAGAAAATCCCAGCAGTTAAATTTGATAGGAAAGCTGCAAGGCAGATAGGTCTTGTATGGATGGATTCACCCTTGTTCCCCTCCTACCAACTACAACTTAGGGCCCATGTGCTTGAAGAGGTGGCTTTCAGCCCAGAAAAACATTCTGAGTCAGCCCTCAGGTTGGCTGTGGGAGATGGAAGTTAAAAGGAATAGGAAGACAATGTTTCCTTGGTGTGCTCCATAGGCTTAGTTCTAGAGTGATTTCCCTAAATGTTTTGTACTTTAGTTACCAAAGTCAATAGTTGGTGCCCCCTCCCCCCAACTTTTCCTACAAGAAAAGTAGGTCAAAGGTGTAGACAAGGTTATGGGCAAGTGATAACTGGGTAGACACAAGCCTTGGAGAAGGAACCAGCTACTGCTCTTTCCTGTCTGTAGGGCAGATCAATGAGAGAAATAGCCCCTCATAGAGCAACAGTCATGTATTATTACTAGACCCTTTATCTTTCTGGTTTGTATACATTCAGTTTCTGCATCCATCAGACTGTGGAACGTGCTAGTCTCTGACATTACCAACGTTAAATGACTGAGGTTTCCCATTGCCTGTTGCGAATAACAATCTAGCCAAAACTCTCAGCATCTCCCCTTCTCTATATCCACCTTTTCTAGTCAGGAGTTATCAATCTCCCACACCTGTATTAAATGAATGGAGATAGAAGTTATGGAATTTTCTTTGCCACCAGCCCGACTGCTTCCATGGTAAGATGAGGTGCTACCAAGTCAAGGAAGAGAATCCTTTTATTGCTGATCTCTTTCCACTTCCCCTAAAAGTTGAATTGAGAAACACCTAGACTTGATAACATTGGCAGACTAGGAAGGGGAAGAAGCTCAGTGGGTTTAAGGCAAAACACCAAGATGTTGGAGGCACATTGGCCTTCAGCCAATGGAAAAAGTGGCATAATCACATCCAATGGATGCAATACACTGGCCAATTGGAAAGAAACCTATGAAGTACTGGCAGTATAGAATGAGGTGTTACTTTGTTATGGACCAGTGAGAAGGGAGATATTGTGTCCCATGGACTAATAGGGAGAACATTTCCTAAAAGATGACGGGAAGGGTATTTCATATTTTCAGGACAGGAAATCAATGGAGTATTGGGGACACTAAATTCTTAGCCCCAAATATCCATCATGTAAGTACCTTGCCCCTCAGCCCCCTATCCCGTAAAAGTCTTTAGTGTCTGAAGAGGGTAAGCTAGAGTCTTCTCAGATATGGGACCCCCCTGAAGAAAGTCTGGGACCAGGGATGGGGGACTGAAGGACCCACCCACTTCCCCACCCCGGCCGAACCTGCAATTCCCCTCCCGGCCGCATGGGGCACTGCGGCCCTGGGGAGGTTGGGGCGGAGCGCTGCGAGGGGCCCGGAGCTGCAGTCCCGCTCCGGAGCGCGGGGGGCGCTGTGCGGGGCCCGGGCTGCGGCTCCGCTCCCGGCCACGGGGGGCGCTGCGCTGCGCCGGTGGTTGGTGGTGGCTGTTGGGGGGGGGGGGGGGGAGCCGCGGGCGCGGGGGGGGGCGGGTGGTC